CATCAACATCTGTGACTATATGTTGTTGGGGTGTTCTTAAAGTTGGTACCAACCTTTTGTCATAGGTCCTCACGATAATGGCATCTAATGCTTTTCCTACACCTTGCATCCACCAATTCAAATAACAAAGGTTGCACTAGCAATCAATATGCCCAACAAGCCGTAGAATATAAAATGTAGCATCGGTATTCACTTGAGTAAGGGATAAACACAAGCTATAGAGCTAGTGGGGACCGACCTTACAAAATAAGTGTTTTCGAGACCCTAGAAGTCTTTGATGGAAACCTTGCTGACAAGCAAACCTATGTGGGATATACATTTCCAAGCAACATTGAGACCCTTGATGCAACATTACAAAACTAGGACGAATGCTGGTCATAAATTCTGTAGACTCTGTGGAGCGAGAATTATCATCTAAATGATTTTTAGGATTTTGAAAATTATATTGCAATTTTCTCAGTCTCCAACTAAAGTCATTCATTAACATGGCTCCACGAAGGAGGTCTCGAGCTGACTTGGCTCTGCCTCATAGAAGAAGTAGGCATTCAAGAGCCCTGGGAACATCTCAATAAGAAGTCATCTATAAGTTGACAGAACATCAGTTAATACACCTCTGACAAAGTATAATCCAACCCAAGCGTACATGTAATTTCCAGTAAATGCAAACGTCAACACCCCAAGGAAGTTAGATGACCATTTTACTTGCTTATATGTGTTAGAAAGACCCTGATAAATGCTTGCTAGCATAGGAGTAACCAAGCTATATGTAATGCCATGAGCCATTCGTGGTGCGACCTTGAATTTTCTAGGACAAAGGAACATTGATATCACTTGATCCCTAGGAAATCCTAACTTGACAAATGGATTTTCTTTGCACCTCTTAAAGCTGGCCTGCTTTCTTCTCATTTGCAAAGGCCTATTAATTTTCCTAATTGCATAATGTTCCTTGGCCTTATTGTTGAAATTATATCCAAACTTGGTGTCTTTGTAATCCTAGAGAAAGTGAGGATTCATAATACTTTCATTTGTTGTATAATAGAACTTAAGCCAATTTGCATGAGTAACTGGATCAGATCMTTTTTTGAAGGCAAGATGAGCATAGGCTTTGAACAAATACTAGAATGAACGAGGCAAACCATCTAGAGTAGAAGACATTAGCTCCTCTAAGCTCGGAATCACTTCCTCATAATATTCTCTACCAATGGAAAGGCCTGAGTCTGTTAGATATCCCAAAGAGATATTCAATTTCACCTCAACTGATCACAAAAGTGTTCGTTTCAGGGCACCAAACTTCACATAGGGCTCTATAAATGTTGTTAAGCCAAATATACACACGAGTAACTGCATGGACCGCTCGACTTAATTCTTTCATGTTCCCTATGTCTCGAAGACGGGTGAATACTTCATGATCCCAATCCCAAAATCCACTAAGATATTGAATCTACCCTCTTGGGCTTAGATTAAAACCCCATTTCATGGACCCTTGTTGTATCTTCTCTGCAATATGGGGAAATGGATGGTTATTCGTAGTGGTATGGTGGAAGAGATGTTTTAAGCATGGCTGCCTAAGCATAGTAATATGATCCCCTTGGTGCATTTTATGGCTCTCGGATACCAAGTAATCTCTGTCAACCTTGAAAGTGGTCCTAGTTCAACTCCACTTCGACCATAAGGACCTATCATCAGCTCATCAACGGCAACTCCACTCCTCGACCCATGAAGTTTTACCAGTATGCTAGGAAAGCGAAGGAACTGTCCCTTTAAGGTGGAATCCCACATGCTCCATCACCCACCCTTCTTAAGGCAAACTCCTTGGCAGAGAGTGTGTAGGAGATGATGAAGAGACATTATGACAAGGTGAACCAGAGGAAGTCATTACCTGCATATGTAAAATAAGAGTGTTAGTACCATATGAAATATTTACCTTAAAATGAAGAAGCAAGATATTTGCGGCACTCTTTGGCGATGAAACTCTATGAAAGCAAATTATTATGACTAATGTCAGTGTATTTTTTTATTGAACAATAAAAACCTAAAATGTAATAAAGTCTCCTTCTATTTCAATGGGTTTTCATATTTTCACTACTTAATTATTGATATTTATAATTTTCAGGTATTAATTATTAATATTTATTATTTATTTCAACTTTTTCGTTAATTAGTTATTAATTTTTAAAATTACTGAAATTGTAAAAAATAAATTAATTTTGACTGAAATTAATTTCAACAAAATCTAATTGAAAATTTTTAGTAATATTGAAAATTGATATTTTTTCAAAATGTTGAAAATTAATTTCTCAGTACTTATTGAAAATTTTCAGAAATTCATTAAAACCTTTCAACAATAATTGAAAACAATTTTCAGATGCTTCTTAAAAACCTTCAGCAATATCAATTTATTTTAATATTTTCAGCAATTAGTTATTGATTTTTTTTTCAAATTATTGAAAACTAATGTGTTAGTAGTTAGTGAAAATTTTCAATAACTTTTAGTTGAAATTAATTTCAGTAAAAATCAATTACGAAAAGTTAATAATTAAAACTTATTGAAAATTTACTGATAAATTTGTAAAGTATTGTATATTTTTCAATATAATTACTGAAAATTAATAACTAAAATTTTCTAATTCTGATATTTTTTAAAAAGTTTCTATTATGTCAATTTATTTTAATACTTTCACTAATTACTTATTGATACTTTTATAAATATGAATGTGAAAATATTTGTTGACATTTTTAAATATTCATTGAAAATTTTTAGTAGAAAATTAATTTCAGTAAAAATCAACGATTCAAATTTATTTGAGATATATTATTAATTATTCAAATGAGTAATTTACCTGAAACTAAACTGTTCTATTTTAACTCTAAATTACTATTATTATTATTATTATTATTATTATTCGTTTTATTATTTACTTATAAAGTTTCACTATTTATCAATGGTTAATTAATTATTTGGATGAATTATAACTGTAAAATTAATTGTTAAAATTTTATTGAATAATTACTGATTGTGGTCCATTTATGTATTCAGTGATATCTCTTGATTGTGGTACTTAAATTATGGTGAATTTATCTCTTAATTTTGACTTATTTGTGTATTTTGTGGTTTATTTTGTTTAGTAATATTTAGTGTTTTAATTGTGGTGAATTGTTGTAATTTAGTGATATTTAGTGCTTAAATTGTGCTACATTTTGTAGGTAATTTACTAAAAAAGTTAGTAATCCTAAGCCACAACCCAGTCTTCCTTAACCCAAGCCCAAACATGGGCCATAGACCACTCCACCTTACTCCAGCCTATGTATAGGCCACATAGGCTACTACCTAATCCACCCGAGCCAGGCCCAAACATAGGATATACAATTTACATGAATTTGCCATGTTATTAACACTCTATACATTCTTTTGATCCTTTTTATCATCAACATGGTGTTTGGAAGGGTGGACACTTTTGGGACCAATTTTCAAGAAAAAACGCCTATGCTTCCATGACCTGTTTCTCACAAAAAATTGCTTCTACCACAAAGGCGATGAGCAACACTATACTGTTTTGTAAGGTGATTTTCATCACCATTTTTCATGTATGTGTTGACAGGTAAGCACCGCATAGGATCATCAGTCAATCGTTGGGAGAAACGGTTCACCGATGCATGAAACTCCAAATTTGGCATTTCATGCATCGGTGGGGTCCCAATTTTTTAGGCATACTCGATTTTTTAATAATCGGCTGAACCAAACAATAAGATACATGAGTGTTTGTTGAAATTCCTATGTGGATATGACATGGCACCGTTTCTTTATAAAACATCCACAGTTCCAAACATCCCCCAAATTGGACATTGCATTTGGATTTTCCCGTGTATTTCATGGGAAATTGTGTATATATATATTCCGAAATTATAGTTTTAATTTTTCTTCCAAACATATGTAATGACGGTTTGATTAGGCTATCTAAGTATCTACATATACTTTTTGTTTAAATGAGCTAATTGAATTAATAGCCACATATTATTTTGGAAATGAAATGATTAAAACACCGTGGTATGTTTTAATACCGTTTGGTGGTATTTTCATCGATATAAAATCATGTCTTCTCCATTAAGGGCAAGTTTGGTATTTAAAAATTAGAGAATGGCATTAGCATTAAATGTTATAATTTTGACATAAACATAACAGGAGGGATGTACTTGAAAATATATCTTGATATTTTGTTTTGAACAAAACAAATACCACTCAAAACCATTAAACCATAGAATAAAGGAAACAAGATTAATTTCATACATATTTTCATTGACRATACAAATACAATTTCTTTTATTTATGTTTTATAGGGAAAAAATATTAACAAGGTTTATTCAATTTCAGTTAATGGTAGATGGATCGTTGGACAGAGTAAAACACCAACAACCAACTCATCTTGTCGCGTGAAATTTCTCCTAGGGTTCAATAGCTCACATGGAATCACGATGGCATTAGTTACAAAGGTAATTTAGTGGTTCAAGATCATGATAATGATATTATATTTATGTGAACTGTGCGCTCTAACCCTGATTTTCACTGTTTTGTTTACTTCAGGATTGAGTTGTCTTCTCTGCCTTGAGTCCTCAACGGCTGAAAATGCATAGCAGAAGCAGCACAGAGAGGGGCACGAAATAACTGGTGGAAGAGTCCATTACATTGTTGAAGTAGTCAAAGAGAGGTGGCAAATAAGATCTATTCTCATCTTCTTTAGTTTTAATTATATATTGCTTCTCCTCGAATATAAAAATGTTGTCAGCTCTACCGTCCCTATGGGGGAAGGCCAAGGATATTTTAATTGGCATTGCAGAAGACTGTATGAAGGATACGCTTAAGGACAACTTTGGTTATCTTGTTGATCCCAATGGTAAGATTGAGGAACTAAAAGTTGTGAGAGAGGAGATTCAAAAAGCAGTTAAAGAAGGGAGAAGATGTTAAAGATGAATTACAAAATCTTCTAATCAATATGGACAGAATCATGGAGAATTGGAATAATACACCTTCTTGGCACTCTATTTACAAGCTAAGCAAGGAAGCCGTGGCGAAGATAAAATCCATTGATGAACTCCTACCAAAGAAGTTATATAATGTATCTAATCCAGCTCCCCTTCCAACGACGGAATCCATTTACAAGGGAGATTTTAATGTCTTTGAATCCACCAAGTTGACAATGGATAAAGTCATGGAGGCATTGAAAGATGAAAATATCCATGTCATTGGGGTGTATGGGATGGGAGGTTTGGGAAAAACTTCCCTGGTGACGGAAGTGGGTAAACAAGTGGAGAAAGAGAAACTTTTTGACAAGGTCGTGATGGCTGTGGTGTCACAAGAACCAAACCTTAAAGAAATGCAAGGTCAAATTGCAGACATGCTAGGTTTGAAATTTGAAGAAGAAAGTGTGAAGGGAAGAGCGTTGAGGCTATCAAAAAGGTTGGAGAAAGTGGGGAGCATTCTTGTCAGCTTGGATGATTTTTGGAAGAAGTTGGATCTGGGAGAATTGGGAATTCCATTCGATGGCAACAAGCACAGGATGGGCTGCAAAATCCTACTCACAACACGGCGTCAAGATGTTTGCCATGCAATGAAGACCCAAGAAGATATTCCTCTTAGCATCTTATCTGAAGATGATGCTTGGGATTTGTTTAGAAGGAATGCAGGTGATGTGGTGGAAAATGACGCTTTGATCAAAGATGTTGCCAAGGATGTGGCGAAGGAGTGCGGGGGTTTGCCCATAGCAATTGTAACAGTTGCGGGAGCACTACGGGATAAGAGAGATCGACAAGAATGGGATTATGCACGAAGGGAACTTCGATTGTCTGAATTTCAAAATATTGAGGATTTAGATCCAAAAGTGCGCTCGTGTTTGAAATGGAGTTATGATTATTTAAGGGATTTGGAAGCCCAACGGTTGTTCTTGCATTGCTGTCTTTTTCCTGAAGATTATCTTGGTATTGACATTGATGAACTAATACGATACTCTTTTGGAGTGGGACTTTTGAAAAATGTTGAAACAATAGAAGATGCAAGATACAGAACTCGTAGAATTGTAAATAAGCTTAAAGCATCTTCCTTGTTGTTACAAGGTTGGAATGAAAAGTTTATCAAAATGCACGATGTTGTTCGTGATGTGGCCATCCATATTGCATCTAGTAAGGGTGAACATGATGAATTATTCCTGGTGAGAGGAGGTAATTTGGAGGAATGGCCAACAATGGAATCAACAGCAGATTACACAGCCATCTCATTGATATATTATCGAATAAAGAAGCTACCTAATTCATTGGAATTTTCAAAACTAAGGACTTTAGTGTTGCGTCGTGCTTATGTCCAAATGGAGATTCCAGACACTTTCTTTCAAGGGATGAGAGCACTTAGAAGTTTGGATATGAGTTTTAATGACCGGCTTTGCATCCTACGATCTTCAATACGGTGGCTGACAAATCTTCGAACATTAAATCTACAAGGATGCGAGGACTTAGAAGACATATCTATGCTTGGAAATTTGAAGGGACTTTGTTATACTCAACTTAAGTGGATGCGGATCCATACATAGGTTGCCAACAAATATGGCACAGTTGACCAATCTAAGTGGTTGAATTTGACACTTGCTTCTGGGATTGAAATTATACCACCGAATGTGATATCATGCTGGTCCCAACTAGAAGAACTACACATGGGTGATAGTTTTAAGGATTGGGAGATAGAAGGAATGCATCGCATATCAAGGGCTAGATTGGCAGAGTTGAACGCATTGCATCGCTTAACCAGTCTACAAGTAGAAATAAAAGATCGAAGAAGTTTGCCAGATGATTTTGTTTTCCAAGATCTTGGAGTTTTTCACATAGATATAAATTTTCGAGACCATTACAATTATCGTATTGAAAAGGTGTTACGTATCGAAGGCTTACGGACCCAAAAAATCAAAACTGTATTTTCTAATCAATTGAAAAAAACAAAAGTCCTACAACTACAAGATTGTGAGGGACTCAACTTGTGTGGATGCAGTGATATTGAAGATTTCCCATCACGTGCCCTTTTGAGAGGCATCTTTTCACGTGCCACAACTCAAAGTCTACTACAGTTCAAAGAGCTTAAGTAAAACAATTAATCATATAAAGATATATTTCTTATTTTTTGTTACTAGGAAAGAGAGAGCACGTACCTTGTATAAGCCAAAACCTCAAATAGCAAGACGCATAGACCATAGCTTTAGTTGTGGGTGATCATTTCTAACCAGACCCAGCCCGAGCCATATATTTCTAGGCCGAGGCCTGATCAAGATGACCCACATCAAGCCCAAAATTGGGAGCGGGTCTAATGGTTTAGGCCCATCTGGTTATACGGTTATACGAGAAAATTTCTGATCAGTACCCTGTACTTTAAGAGTTGTGTCAAATCAGTCCCTGAACTTCAAAATGTGTCTTTGCAGTACAGTATCTGAATGGCAATGAATCTGGTATAGTGGTGATAACGGTGTTGACTAAAGGTCAACTAACGATAAGGACTTATTAGATACAATTTGAAAGTTTAAGGCACTACATAAACACATTTTGAAATTCGGGGACCAACTTGACAGAACCCCCAAAGTACAGGATATTGATCAGAAATTTCCCCAAAAACATCAGGCTATAATAATAATAATAATAATAATAATAATAATAAATAAAACGGATGATCATTTCAAACCAGTCCAGCCCAACACACAAATTGTGGGCCCAGCACGATAAGGGCCAAACCCACATCAAACCCAAAATTTTACGGGTTGGGAATGTGTCCAATATTTGAGGCCCATCTTGCAATAGCCCCTACCATAGGCTATGTCTAAAAGATTGATGACTTTTCTTTAACTAAAAAAAATGTATGGCCTTGCCCTCACTTTAATCCTTTGAAAACCTTATTAATCTTCAGGAAACATTATAAATTGTGCGATGAGGAATTGGTTGTGTGTAGGGTGCAGAATTGTAAGCAGATATATACATTGCAAATACAAGGTTAAAAATTACTGTAAATAAGGTTTTCCACTGTACATGTTTTTGCATTTACATTCTTTTCAAACTGAACATTAAGGACAAAGAGTTTATCTAAAACAGGAATTTGAGAATTTAAATTCTCACCCGAAAAGAAAATAAAATCACTTGGGTTTTGAATTTGAAACAAAACCACTAACGTGTTGGTGTTTTAGTAGGCGTAGGCCACCTAAGCATACTAGGCGAGTTCTGTTGGTGATAGGCTTTTGGCTTGTTTACATTTTAATTAAATAATCTCCTCCTACTTCACGTAGCTAGATCTTAGGTGATCATCTATAATTAATGTTTTACTTAAATGAAATAAGTTTCTTTTGAAAAGTAAATGATATAAGTTTAATTTCAAATAACTTTTTTGTTTATAAAAATGAAGGGGTGTTTACCGATGTGTATGATTTTGTCTTTCATAACAAAAGCTGCCTCAACAGCAAAAAACAATCTGATTATGCTTTTGTGGCACTTGATTTTGTTTTTCTTTTTTCTTTTTTATTTTCTGTTGTATTCAATATATTATTTATATCTTTATGATGGGTTATCATAGTTGAAGCATTCATTCACTCCCTTGCATTAAGCATATTTTTTCCATTGATTATTAAAGCCTAGTTCATATTTGCAATTAAGGTTCCAAATATTGACATGGGTAGTGTATTGGCCCGTGTCAGAGGATCAATTTAAGGCCTGACTACCCTCTGAAGTGAAATAGGAAAAATGCTTGTTAAAAGTGAAATTGAAATGCTAAGACTATTTATGCAGGGTATCACATCGAAGGCCAATACTAGCAATTATGATGATGATAATGATGTAAGGAAAAATAACGAGGTAATTCCTTGTCTAAAACTGGTATTATTTTGCTTCTTAGTTTTTTCAAAATACCTTTAAATTTCAAATGATTGGCGGATGTTCTTATGGTCGTATATAAATCAACCATTCAATCTATTGGTATTGCATTAGCAATAACTTTTGCACTGAATGAAAGGTGCCAACTGGTTGGCTGGTAAGGTTTTTAGCTAGTTGGAAACGGGTCACAACAGCGTTTGCTGCCGTGCATTCAGAACATCTCCCTTGTCTTCCATGATGAGATGTTCCCGATGTACAACTACAATTAATGATGACTGTGACTGATTGTTGGGACCCTGTTTAGGGACCTGATCCAAATCTGGTCAATTGTAATGGAACTTGGGAGTCGAACCCCACCTGCACCAGGGCTGGGGGGTTTTGGGTTTATTAATTTGCAGTTGCACTCTCCCCAGACTAGGCCTTTATCTCATAACAAGAGCAATGCAGCACATACTCAAAAGAAATTAACAGTCTTATTGCATATGCTGATCAAATTACTTGACCTAACAGGTAGAAATTGATCTTAACACCATTGATTTCCTTGCGATGTGGTCTGTGGAGTCATTGCAGCAGCTGGATGAATTGAGGCAATCTGATGAGCCTTCACTTGAGTTGAAACTCTTCGAGCCTCCTAGCAAGAAGCAACAACTCCATCCATCATCATCAACAGCCTTGACCTCCAAGTCACATAGAAATTAACCTGAACTGGGGGAGAACTTGATCGAATGTAAAACTTCTCGTGATATATTGGAATGCTTTCTGAACCTTATCCTAGAGCAAGATTATTGTGTGATGCAGATTGACTTGAGTCTCTAATTAAATTTTCATAGTAATAAGGGTCACGTAGTAGGCCAAACCAACTTTTCCATTAGATTTCTTTATTAATAGTATGACACAATGGACAGTTGTGTTGCTTTTGTTAGTTGTATTAGTATTAGTTTGCAAACTGTCATTATTACTATCAGACAACTTGATCAAATCTTTGATATACATATGAATATGTCAGTGCATGGAAATGTTGGCTTATAGGTTGATGAACCTACAATTTATCTATAATTTTTGAGGACTTTAGCATGGATTCTTATGCCGGTTTTATTAATTTTGCCTTAATTTAGATTAATGCTAAGAAAAAGTTTCAGGAGTAATTAATCCAAAAAAAGGAAGGAAAAAGGCAAGGAAATAAGGTTCAAAAAAGACCAAATTCAGCCCAGTCCGGTTGTGGAAGCAAGAGAGAGCACTTCGGCCCAAGAATAGCAAGTGGATTCCATGAGAAAACCCAAGAAAAGAAAGCCTAGCTAAGAGTAGAATTCGGCCCAGCAAAGAAGGCCCATTCTCAGTCCAAAAGAGCAGTTCAAAACATAGCTATCATGTACTAAGAGAGAGCCTAAGTGCCGTCCAAATAGCAGCCCTAAGAGCTAGGGGCGGCAGCCCTTAGGAGGCTATCAAGAGAGCTCTAGAAAGTTCAAGAAAGGGGTGTAATACACTTCATTCTAGAGGCTTCAAGAATGAGCAAAAGCCCCATTGAAAAACTATATAAGGAGGCCTCTAGGAGGGGGGAGAAGTGTTCAATTGCTTGAGATGAAGGCTCTCCCACTCTTAGAGGTTTGGCCACCTTGAGAGAAGAGAAGAGAAAAAGGTTAGGTACAAGGAAGAAGAACAAGAAGGGCTGAAGGAGTTCAAGTCAAGCAAGCAAGAAGAGAAGGTGAGTTCGAAAGTGGGGGTTTGTGATTCAGAGATCTTTTGTAATAACTCAATTGTAGTTTCATTCTCCTTTGATTTGGATTTAGTTTCTTTGTTATATTTTTTTTCTTCTTTCTCCTTCTTCCATTCTTCCWTGATGTATTTCAGCTTGTAAAATTTCAGTTCAGCAATCTAATTCTTTTTTATTCATTCGAATGGTTATGAATTGTACTTGAAGTTTCTTGAATAAGGGTGTTATTGTAGATTAATTCGGCCAACTAACCTTCAAAAATCAGATCTGGGATTGCAATATTTGAATTGCTTGAAAGAGAATTCAGATCTGCAAATTTCATATTGGCCGAATGGATCTAAAGCTTGGAATTCCTAGAGTGCTTGAGAGATGTTAGACAGTTTTGTATGCCCTTAGCTTCAATCTGAATTGATGTACTTTTGATATTTAGTGTAAATAAATAAATTGCATGTTTGATTCATGTTGTTTGGTATAATTCTGTGTAAGACCCTAAAACTAGACACTCATTGAGGCTCGTGTTAGTTTTAAAGGTTCACAGCCATTGGATAAGTCTGGGGAGATTTATCCTGCCAAGGCTGATACTGGTGTGCCACCAAGTGTTGGGATGGCCTGTCTCAGCCACCAGGGTAAAACCCAAGGCACATGCAGTATGGGATTACT